GATACCGAGTCCTGCTTTACATCCTGGTTTGATTTCCCAGGGTGGATGGTGCTCCTTGGCCCGCCCATGCTGCCAAGCACCCCTGACACATGGCCACAGCGGTGCCCCTGGGCATTGCCAGGACTGGTGGTCTCTCTCCCAGCTGTCTGATGGCTCCTGGGCTGTGTTGTAGCAGATGATTCCCATATCCCACCTCTCCTAATGGGTTGTTCCTACAAAGGTGGCATCTTGGTCTTGTACCAGGCCCACCCAGCCCGGGGGCCTGGAGATGTCCCCTCCAGGGTCACAGGAGAGCCCAGCAGCAGATGGATGGTACCTAGGGCTGAGCAGGGAGGATGCAGGTGGCTTAAACAAATCCCTGCAGAAATGAGGCATTGTGGGCCAAGGGAGTTGCTGTCAAGAGAACACTTGAGGGAGGGTCACCATGGGCCACCTGCTCTCCTGCCTTTCTATAAAAGCCTTTTCATCCAAAATGGAAGATTTCACCAAAGGCTGTCAGGCTGTTAATGAAAAACAAGGGGAAAAGTGCAAAGCAGCCATGTTTGATTTTTGCTCTTTATTGAAAAAAAGTAACAAAAATTTCAGATGACTTCTGATGTACCATTTTGTTTCTTCAGAGACCTTTCTTCCAAGTACAATCAGTTTTCCAAACTGTGAAGCCTTTCCGTCTGGGAGTGACAGTGTTATCCCTGCCTGGCCATGACAGCAGGGTTTGGACTGCTCCTCCTTCTCCTTCATCAGATGCCAAGGTGGCACCTCTTTGATGGTGCCCTGTAGCTCCTCCCTGGGCAAGAGCCTCTTCCCTGCCCTAAAAATGAACACTCCCATTTCAGATCTTATCCGTGCTGGTTGGTGTTGGACTTCCTTTCCTTGATCCCAAAGGAGAAGGGGTGACTCAAAAATTATTTTTTCCTCTGCAAAGTTTTGGCTTAGAAGGAAGAAAAAGGCATTTTGGGATCAAAGAGGACCAACTCCACAGGCCTGTCATCCGGGCTGGGCTCCATCCATCCCACAGGGTCCCGGTGGGTTCAGCTGCCACGTGCTAGTGCTGGGAGGTGCCCACTGCTGGGGGAACCCCCCCGGGTGGATCCTGGCCCCCCGTAACTGATCGTAGGTGGAGCTTTGGTGCCTCACTCCCGTGGCTGTGTCCCAGCTCCAAGCAGCAGCACACAGATGCAGCTCCTTGCCTGGGTGAGCCCACCTCACCCTTGCCCCGATCCTGTCCTTTCACTGAGACACTTTGCAGTTGTCAGCTCCTTCTCTCCATTTCTATGGCAACTGTAAAAACCTCAACCCTTTTGTGTCTTTTTTATTTATTTATTTTTTTTTGTATCTGGGTTGGCTTTGTCTTTTTTGCATGGAGCGTTAAATCAAAAAACCGAGACTTTTTGCTACCAAAACCCTGCTCTGAGCTTGGCCTAAAGTCTTGTGTGAGAATCAGTGGGCAAGATGCTCATGTCTGGAGTGAATGTTGCCAACTGGTTTCACGTTGCCTCTTCCCTCCACCAGCCCCACTGTTGCTCCCGTCATCCCTCAAAAAATCCCCGTTGGCAATTCAGCTGTGTGGTTGTCCCTGGGGCTTTTTCATGTCTTTTGTACAGCCCCATCCTTGGGTGTGGTGGAGGAGGCAGCAGCTTTCTCAACAGCAGTAATTAAAAGGAGATGTCGTGCTGCTGCCAGCAAAGGTGGACCCAAGGCTCTCGCACATCCAAGGCAGGAGCGAGCGTTTGAACGGGGAAGAGGAGTGTGTATTCATGGTGTTATTATGTGCCTCTTTCTATGAAAAAAAAAGGAATGCATTTTATGCCATTTAATGACCTTCAAATTAACAGTTCTTTGAAAGCACTTATGTATATTTAATTTTAAATGTTGCTGCAAGTCAGAGCGGGGCTGCGATGAAAACAGCAGGCGGCCGGTTTTTAAATAAGAGCGATCTCAGACCATTATTTCCGAGCCTGTCAGCTTGTGGTGCCTCTAATCCGCCTTTCCCAAGGAGGAATCAGGGCTGTCCTTCTCTCTGTCCCTCTGTCCCCCTTCCCTTCTCCACCACCTCTGCTCCAGGAGCTCCCCACCTGCCGTCCCGAGCCCCATGGGATCTCCTCTTCTGCTTTCCGCTTCTCCAGGGTGTTTGATTCAGAGGGAGGGAAGGGTTGGTTTGGGGTTGGTTTGCAGAGATCTCATCAATGAATCTACCTGCATCCTGAGGACATCCCTGTGGGAGCCAGGGGAACATCCCAGCTGGCCCATGGCCTGGGATAAATCATTGGGCATCACCTATGAAGGGTTTTTTCACTGCCACCAACCCTTGCTGTTGTTCTGTGATGGGGACAGACACGTTTCTGTTCTTTAGGATCTGAACTAAGGCTTTTGCCTCTGATCCATAAAAACTGCCAATATATTCGAGCCACTCTGTGTTCACTTGGAAATCGTTACTCTTAAACATTGAATCTGACTTTAAAAAGAAAAAGGATCAATCAGCTTCTGAGACGAGGAATGGATTTACAGACTCCAAAACGTTCTGTAGCTCCAAGGCCACTCGTCCTCCTTGAACTGCCGATGGAAAAGCGGTTGGTGGGGGCCAGGGCTCACATCCAGCTCTGGCACTCAGCCAGGTGCTGCATGTCCCCTGCTCCCATAAAGTCCCCCCTGCACAAGGAGCTGCAAGGGGGATTTAACACTCGTATCGTTATCTGCTCCTGTGCCTCTTCCATGAAGGATCCTGCCAGGGTGGGTGCTGGTCTAATTACAGCTTGGGCTGGCCATTCCCAATGAGTCTTCTTGCAGTTTTGGAAGAGCCAGAAACTTTTTGAGCAGTGATGGAGGAGAGGCAAAGTCCACATCAATGGATTCCCGCAGTGAATGGTTTCACCCCATCAGTGGTTTCTCCACGCTGTTCCTGTTCCAGCTTATATCTTTAATATTTTTTGTGGGTTGGAAAGGTCCTTTGGGATCATCTGGTCCAACCTTCTGCCATGTAGCAATGGCTGTGTTTGTCCCAGCTGAGCTCAACCTCCTCCAAGCCCCATCTCTGGGAGGTGTGAGAGTGTCAGTTTGTGCTCTCCCATTTTTGATGTCCTCAGGGTTTGGTTTTGTGTCTGTGTCTCACGGGAGATTTGCTGGCTCCTGTCCATCACTGGACCCTGATGGGCTGTGTTCCCATACCAGGGCTTGGTGTGGAAAGAGGAGCTTTCCAGTCAGGAGAGGGTCTCCTCTGCTTTATGTAGCCTGAAGAGGTGTGAGATGGGAACCATGAGCATCCATGGCATTAAATCTGGTCTCTTGCTTCACCTCAGAGCAGCAGATGGGTGCTGGAGAGGGGAGTGCACCTGCCTGTGGTGACCATGGTGCCCTTCACCTGGGCCTCTCAGGGTTGTCAGGGCTGCTGGCACTTGGGTTGGTGTTCCAGGGCCTTCTATTTTGGCTGGCTGTCCTCCGTGGAGCACCACTGTGATTATCCCTCCAGCCTGAGCTGCCCCTCTCTCCCTCCCTGTCTGTCTGTGTCCAAGCATCTCCACTGCTTCTGCTCTGCTTCCTCTGGTCATTGGAATTTAAAAGGCTGTGAAGCCCCTGGCTGTCCCACCCTGCTGTGTGGCTCTGCTGCAGTGGCTGGTTTTAGGGTCCCAGCAGACCCCAGCACAGGGACATTGTAGGTGACGTGACCATGGATGGGGTGGCCCCGCCCGTGGCACAGGTGGGATGGTGTTGAGGTCTCCTGGCCCGTCCCTGGAGGGAAATGCTGGAGGAGGTTAATCTGAACAAACCAGGCGTGTGTTTTAAGTGGATTAGTTGAACTCTGCTCCCTCCCAAAACAGACAGTGCCCTTTCGGGGCGGATGTGGAAGTGGATTAGGCAAAAATCTACTTAGCGCTGTGTTAATTCTAGATAAGTGTAGGGGGATTAACGCCTATCCACTTAAAAAAATTAATTGGAGTGAACTTTTCTCCGTGCCCCCAAGTAAACAAGGCTCAGCAGCTTCCCCCATCCACAGGTTGGGCTGTGCCTTTCCCTTCTCTGCTCTCCCATCCCCACACGTGGGGCAGGAGCTGCTGTCATGGTGGGGGGGAACCTGCTCCTCTCTTTGATTATCCCCAGGGGTCTCATTAGGCAGTTGAACCCTTATGTAAGGGTAGGGGAGAGAGGGCAGGAAAATTATGGTCCCCATCAGTGCAGTTATCAATGCTAATTAACACCGAGCGGGACTGAGGGCGGGAGGAACAGCCTGTGCCAAGTGTTGTCTGAGGAGCTGGGAGAGCCTCGAGCCTTGAGAGGGCTTCCATGGACAGGGGGGTGTGGAACATGCTCACATTGGTTGGTTTGGCTTTCTCCCCCCAGTGCTTTGGGTGTACCCTTCACATTCTCCAGCCTAAATATTTGGGAAGGTGTCCATGGCCAGAGGCTGCCGTGGGCAGGGACTCAGGTCCGGTCTTTTGTCTGGGGTTAGTGCCTGGGTGGCAGTGCCATGTCACAAACCCAATAGTGCCCAGATGAGGAGGGGGCTCTGGGAGGCTCCTGCCCCAGGGAAAGGGCAGTGAGATGTGACTCCCCTTTACAGAGGGGTTGGATAGGGAGAGCACCCTGAGGCTGGCACCTGCCCGCATCCCAACCACTGCCCGCATCCCAACCACTGCCCGCATCCCAGCCACTGCCCACATCCCAGCCCACATCCCAACCACTGCCCACATCCCAGCCACTGCCCACATCCCAGCCACTGCCCACATCCCAGCCACTGCCCGCATCCCAACCACTGCCCACATCCCAACCACTGCCCACATCCCAAACACTGCCCTCATCCCAACCACTGCCCGCATCCCAACCATTGCCCACATCCCAGCCACTGCCCACATCCCAGCCCACATCCCAGCCACTGCCCACATCCCAACCACTGCCCACATCCCAGCCCACATCCCAACCACTGCCCTCATCCGAACGACTGCCCGCATCCCAGCCCACATCCCAGTCACTGCCCACATCCCAACCACGCTGCTCACTGCCCTGTGGCCATGCTGGGGGCCGATAACGCCTTCCCCCATGGNCTGCCCGCATCCCAGCCACTGCCCGCATCCCAGCCACTGCCCGCATCCCAACCACTGCCCGCATCCCAATCACTGCCCGCATCCCAGCCCACATCCCAACCACTGCCTGCATCCCAACCACTGCCCGCATCCCAGCCACTGCCCGCATCCCAATCACTGCCCGCATCCCAATCACTGCCCGCATCCCAATCACTGCCTGCATCCCAACCACTGCCCGCATCCCAGCCACTGCCCGCATCCCAGCCACTGCCTGCATCCCAACCACTGCCCTCATCCCAGCCCACATCCCAGTCACTGCCCACATCCCAACCACGCTGCTCACTGCCCTGTGGCCATGCTGGGGGCCGATAACGCCTTCCCCCATGGAACATCCTCTCCCATGGAACACCTTTCCCCCATGGAACGCCTTCCCCCATGGAACACCTTCCCCCATGGAACACCTTCCCCCATGGAACACCTTCCCCCATGGAACACCTTCTCCTCCCACAGACGTGGCCCTTTTATTGCTGTTTGTGTCACGCCAACACTTCCAGGCTGAGATCAAAGCCCTCCACGCCGCCTCGCAGGGGTTCCCACGCTGGAGCTCAGGGAGGAGGAGGAGGTGTGATGAGGGGGGTGATTCAGTACCTGGGGGATGTGCTGTGCTGTCCCCTCCCCATCCTCCTTCAGCTGTTCATGACCTGTCCTTTGGGATCCATCCTTTGGAATCGGCCCAAATCCTCTGTAGCTGCCCCCGGACCGTTTTTGCCAGGACGAAGGGCAGGGCTGCAGCTGGTGCGGGAGAGCTGAGCCGGCAGCCGCCACCCCCGGCAGGGTGCGGGTTCCCCAGGGAAAATAAACCCCCAAACCCTTCCCCGTCCCCACTGCTGCCGGGCGGGTCGGGCGGCGGCTGAAGGAGCTGGGAAAGGCTGTGGGGGAAGGTGGAGGTGGAGCCGGGAGCAGTGCCCGGGGCTGCAACCATCGCTCATCACCAGCTTTAATGTGGCCGAACCCGCAGCCGATACAAATCCTGTCACCACCCGGACTTGGGCACCCACCTCGGTTTATACCCATCCCCAGGACCCGCCCGGCTCAGCATCATTACATTAATTATATTTCTGTTACTGCTTTTTTCCAGCTGTTTTGCTGTTCTGTTCCCAGTTACATTAAGGGGAGCTTGTGACACCAAACCTCCAAGCACGGCACCAAAAATGGACCCTTGTGCCTAAGAAATACCACTCAGCAATATCTTTTCCCCCAGCTGAAAGTCCTTTTTTCTAAAGATAATCTCAATTTCTCTTCTCTTTTCTCTGCCCCTTTTTCCACCAAGCACTACATTACTAAATAAAACTTTCATTACTACCTGGGTTTGCTGAAGAAAAAAATTATTTCCATTCAGGAGAACGATGAATTTTAATAGGAGTGAAATGTCAGGCACAGCTGGAGTGGGTTTCTGAAAGCATCGGTATGTTTGGAGAGGCACAGGGACCCCAGCAATAATTAGCCAGTGAGCCCCAGCTTTCGGTGGCCCAGCAAAGGGACCCAGCAGTCAATTGCTTTGTTATTTAATGTGCTGCCTTTATGTTTCCAAGGTGCAATTGTATATTAAAAGTGTCTTTGCCTCTCCAAAGTGGCTAAATAATGGAATTTTGCTGCTGGGCGGCACTTCTTGGTTGCAGGGTGAGGAGAAGGTGCCCCTGGGGCTGCTCCTCTGGTTCCGAGACATTCTGGCTTCCCCCCAGGAGTTGGAGAAGATGGGGATTTTTTGTTACATTGGAAAATTGTGGCAAGAAAATGACTCATGGTGCTTTGTGATTTGCTCCTGTGTTCGACCCCGGGGTGCTCATCTTGCAGTGGGAGGTGGGGAAACGGCAACTTGGCTGCTGGGGCACATGGAAACTCTCCCGCCCCCAAAATTGCATCTCAGCCTCCGCTCCCCGAAGCATCTCGGCTTCACAAAGAAATCCGTCTCCTCCGTTCCTTTCCTTTCCCCCCTGAGGAGAAATAGAGAGCTTTCAGTGAAATCATCATTTTTCTGACAGCATATTAATTAATCCCTGCTTTTAGTGGTTTTTTTCTCCCTTTTTTTTTTTTTTTTGAGAGGCTGTATCTGCTGCAAGAAGCCTTTGGGTTTCACTGGGTGCAGTCCCCACCGGCTGTAGGACGGGGTGGGGGCTCGGTGGTGAAGGATGTACCGAGTCTTGAGCACTGGGTGTGCTTATTCTCACCCTTTTCTCCTTTCCCTCTTGCCTTGCAGGGGCATCGAGTCCAGCATTGCGGCGGGGCAGCAGCGCCAGGAGGGGGTCCCCAGGGACCGCTCCCCCACCACCCACCAGACGATGCTCCGGGAGGTCCCCGCAGCGCCCCGGGCCCCCGTCCCCCCCCTTCCCTGTCCTGTACATAACCAGTGAGATGTCTGTAAAAGATTTCAACCCTTGGAATTTTTTTTGCCCTCCCTCCCCACCTCCCAGCCCGCCTCCCCCCCCCTTCCTTCCCCAATTTGTTGATTGTGTTGAAATTGTCGGAGTTTGTAACAGTAACTTTCAGAGAATATTGTACTAAAGAGAAAATTGCACTCAATAAAAATGATGAAAGAAGCCTGGTCCCTCTCCTTCCCCTTCCCAGGGGCAGCCTTTCCGCTGACGGCTTCTCCTCAGCTCGGAGCTGGGGGAATATTTGCCATGAATATTCATTTGGGGAGCTGGCAGCGCTCCATCACTCCTTGACTTACCTCGAATGTTGATGTCTATCAGATCCGGCTCCCCGGTTTGTAAATGAAGTGACTTTATTCTCGGCGATCCCTATCGGAGGTTGCTTGCTGCAAAAGAGCCAGGAGAAGGAGTTTTCTTGGCACAGGTTTTCCCGAGGAGCGCATTTCAAAGCCCTCGTGTGCGATCGCTCGGGGAGGCCGCGCTGGAAGCGCTGGCTGGGATGAAAGCACCGCCCATGCTGGCGGAGCACGGCGGCTCCTCGCTTCCCGAGTCCTGCTGGAGCCTGTCCACGAAAGGCTGATGCTCATCTTGAACCTGCTTTCCCTAAGGATTACTGTACATCGTGGCAGGAAAATGAATTCTTCCTTTTTCACTGGCTGCTCTTGGGCATTGTATCCTGCTGGGATCACACAACCCATCCAGCTCTCTCAGATACAGGGTGGGATTGTTGGGATGTCCTGTGCAGGGCCAGGAGCTGGACTTCATGATCCTTGTGGGTCACTTCCAACTCAGGATATTCTATGATTCTGTGATCCATTCTATCCTCAGTCCCTGAGGGCAGCTGATCCTGCTGGCACTGGGAACATCCTCCAGCCGGCAACGAGGGCTAAAACAGGGGCTGGAAGTTTTGTAAATGGACAGATTTGGAAATATGCAGCCACCACTGACATATTTGAGGTTCTGAAAAAGGAGCTGCTACTGGAAGAGCTTTGGAGGTGTGGGATACAGGCTTCCCACGCCCCATGGCTTTGGGGTGATCTGGTGGGGAGGGAGGCGAGTGCTGGTTCAGCTGGAGGTGGAGCTGGCACATCCCCACAGTCCCTGGCATCCTGTAAACCTCCCATCAGTGCTGGTGTTGATTTGGGGTGTTACCATCTTCAGGTCCTTGCTGCTTCTCCAGGGTCATTATAGCTGGGATTTTTTTTGTTTATAGGGTTTTTTGACTGAGTTCCACGTGCTGGTGGCTCCAGGTCCCTGGGGCAGGACTCCACCGCCCTGGGCTCGCACACCACAGTGAAGTTTGCCTCACACTTGTACACAGGGGGAGGACTGGTTTTTTGGGTGTTTTGGGTGGTTTTTGCCAAGCCCATCCCGACAAATGAAAGCAGATCATCTCTGCCATAAAATCCAGCCTCCTGGCAGGACTTTGGGCACACAAGATGCAAATAGGCAGCAGCTGATGGAGGGCAGAGCGAAGTTGTTTGTGTGTCCTTAATTGAGTAGATACTTGATTTAATGGGCTACTGGTGTGGTTTAAATGAGTGTTCATGTTTCTTGAATCCTCTGGGATTTGGGGCCCTGAGAGGGTATATCCTTTACACAGGTCGCTCCGAGGTTTTCCCATTAAGTAACCAAAAGACATTTACAGCCAGTGCTTAACATTCCCCAAGTAACTTGCTTGGGAATAGCCTTTTAACGGGGTCTGGAGGAGCCCTGCTGACAGTTTGATGGTTAACGGGGCTCTGAAGGAGGGTCTGGAGCCCCTCAGCAGAGCCTGGATGTGTCTGGCCAGTCCCTGTTGGACCCTCACCTCCCTGACATTGGTTTATACAGCTGCAGCCTCTGGCCCCTGTGTTTTATTCCCCCCCACGAGCCAACCAGTCACCAGCTTCACTTGCATCCCAGCTGGAACGAGATGTCATTTACTGAGGCCACACAGCATCCAAAAAAACTTTCCCTGAGCTTTGAATATAGACACAGGTGGCTGTCACAGCCAGAACAGAGACCAACCCTCAGGATAAAAAATCTTTCCTTCATGGCTCTCAGGTTTGAAAAATGGAAGCAGCGTGTTGGCTCCAATTACCCCTCAGCAGCTCCCAGAAATCTGGATGTACCCGGTGCTCCGGCACACCAGCGTGATGCCGGACTAACTCCGGCACTGGTGGTGGAGTAAATCCTTATTTGCCCCACTGCAAGGAGAAAATTGAACTGGGACTGGGCTTTATATGGGATAGGAGGAGGAGGGCTCCCTGGGAGACACAATGCTCCATGGGTGCAGTGTGCCCCACACGTGGGGCCTGGTGGGAGACACTCTCATTCCCTTGATGATGTTCCCATCCCATGCCACAGGCCTGAGGACAGCCCTTCCCAGGGGAAGAAAGCGGCTGGGAATGTATTGGCTGCACGGAGACCTGGGGGCAGTGAAGGAGGGGGAGGTTGGAGACACACACATCCCTGTCCTCTCCCACTTCCCCTCCCTCCCACACTCAGCGGTGAAAGACAAATAAAAGATGAGCCCAAGAGGACTATTGGCTAAATTGTAATTGGAGCAATATGGTCTGATGATAAAGTTTCGTGCCAGCCCACATTAACTGGCAGCAGCTGCTGGAATTATTGGAGATGCCTCATCGCCTATCCAAAGGGCCGGGATTTCCTGGAGGACAAGCCAGGCAGGCTGCAGCGGTGCTGGAGCCAGGAGGGCTCGGATGGAGCAGGGCTGAGGCTGCTGCAGTGTTGAAATCTCCAGGCTGTGTGGGAGAGGTTTTTGGGGATGCTCACGAGAAAGTCACCTCCTGTTGCCAGCCAGATGTCTCAGTTCTGTTTATCTGGTCACACACTCATGCACAGCCTGCACCTCCCTGCACCCCAGGGGATCAGGACAGGGCAGGATTTACTCCACACAGTTTGCTTTTAGCTGCATTTCAGGCACTGCCTTGATTAAACCTGCACAGCTGCCCCCCCTCACTGCCCCAAAGCCACCGCCAGCGCCGAGGGGGGGAATTCTGCCCCTCTGCCCTGCTCAGGTGAGACCCCACCTGCAGAGCTGCCTCCAGTTCTGGGGTCCCCAGCACAGGAAGGACATGGAGCTGTTGGAGTGAATCCAGAGGAGGCCACAGAGAGGCTCCAAGGGCTGGAGCCCCTCTGCTCTGGAGCCAGGCTGGGAAAGCTGGGAGTGTTCACCTGGAGAAGGTAAGGCTCAGGGAGACTCTTAGTCCCTTACAGACACTAATGAATTTATTTCCCCGAGCTGTTATGAGGAGATGGGGTATTATATCTTTTTTATACACAGTAAGCTCGAGTGTGGATTTGGGAACCTCAAAGCCTGCTGGCCCCCTGGGAGGCTGGGAATGCTGTTTTTCCACACACTGGCTGTGTTGGGCACCCAGCAGTGGCTGTGAGCATCAGACAGCTCCAGGTGTCCCAGCAAGGAGGGTGGATGATGTCCACTCCAGAGCTGGTGGTCTCCACTCATCCTTCATCCCAGCAGCTCCATCCCCCCGGGGAACCCACCTTCCCTCCTGGATTTAGTATCCGTTTGGTCTCTTGGCTCTGTGAACACGTGGATCCAATGTCGTGGGTGGTGACTCCTCCTCAGGACTGTGGTGTGGGTGCTCTGAGAAGCCCATCTGCCTCAGTGCTGAGGAAGAGGGTGCAGCTTTGCATGCCTACCAGGTCCCCAGATTTGTGTCCAGCTGGAGATGGTGCTGGAAGGTGGTTCTTAAAACAGCTCCAGTGTAACCAAACCACCTCAGCAGCTTTACCCACTGGGGTGGGTGGGATTTTCCCCCAGGACAACTCAGGGGAGGTTTAGGTTGGACATCAGGAAAAGGTTCTTCCCCCAGAGGGTGGTTGGGCACTAAACAGGCTCCCCAGGGAATGGTCACAGCTCCAAGGCTTGCAGAGCTCCAGGAATGTTTGGACAATGCTCTCAGTGACAGGGTGGGATTACTGGTGTGTCTGTGCAGGGCCAGGAGTTTGTATGATCCTTGTGGGTCCCTTCCAACTCAGGACATTCTGTAATCCCACGGTTCTAAGTCAGAGAGAAGCCTGCTGGATTGTTTGTCTGGGGCCTGCTGTTCCCAACAGGAAAGTCACGTATCTCCGTAGCTGTAAACGCGTCCCTGGGATTCCTGTGGGCACCTCGGAAACTTCCAGAGTGCAGGAGCATCCCATCCTTGCCTGTTCCCCTTTCCCATTTGCTGCTGCAGACGTTCCTGACATCTCCCCATAAAATGCAAACAAACATCCTCCTCCTTTCCAAGGCCATTCCTAGTGGATCCTGTGCCCCGGGTGAGCTCGCTGCCGGCTCCGTGGCTCACACGGATGTTGTGCCAGCAGTTTCCCTGTGGTGCTTCGTCGTTCCACACCCTCCCCGTGTCAGCAGAGCTGCTTGTGAGATGCTGCTCTCATTAGAGCAGACACCGGCACCGATAGCCCTGACAAGCAGCAATTACTGCACTGACAAAATAAAAGTTTTGAGTTGTTTTGCAAATATTTTTGAAGCCCCGATACAGCGGCAGGAGTGGGCGTAATTACACATAAAAGTGTATCTCCTTTATAGTCTTTTAATTATCTACTCAGGTGAACCATAATTTGAGGGGAAATGCTTTAAATCTGTTCATTTCTAACAAGAAAAAATGAGGTGGGAGAATGTTATTTTAATGTAATTAGGAGAAGGCAGGGCTGGCTGGCTGGGTGAGGGAGCAGGGAGCAGCATTGTGCTCCGGGGACCTCGGGCTCTGCTCCCTCCCCTCTCACCACACCAGTCCTCTCTCCCTGCTGGACAGCACATCAACACCGTGGTGGAAATAAGTGCCTGTTCACATGTGGTGGCAATACTCTTATGTCTTGTCATCAGCCTTCCTGAGCCCAGCTTTGCCAGGACCTGCCCTGTAAAGCCTGGGATCATTGGGGGACCCCCCTGAGACTGGTCTGCTCTTGCAGATCACTCCAGTCACGCCAGGAGAACCTCTGAAGGCCAGTGTGGGATTGAGAGTTGTCCAGTGGGAAGGGAATCGTGGCAACAGGAGGGACTTTGGGCTGGAAGGGACCTTAAGGCTCATCTTGTTCCACCCCTCTTTCCACTACACCAGGTTGCTCCAAGCCCCATCCAGACAATCTGGGCAGCTCGTGGGACTTGGCTCCTCTTGCTGGGGACCCAGGTCCCCACACCAGTGGTAGCAACTACGTTGCTCCAGGCTGAGTCCTGCATTAAAACTGGTTCCAAGACTTCCAAGCATTAGCTGACACGCTAATTTCCTCTCTTCCACTTCCATTCCTGGACTGCTGTCAGCTGAGGCGCCTTTTAAAATAAGTTATTTCCATCCAGTCTGCGGCTTTCCAAGAGAAGAACGAGTGTTGAACTTTATTTTTCTTATAATGACTCCTCAGAGTCCCAGATAAGATCAAACCCTGGCTCCTTTGGGCTCTGTGCTCCACACATGTGGTACATCTCCTGCAGAACCTGCAAGAACAGATGATCCATCTTCTGGGGTGGAAAGCTAAAGCATGGGGGGATCAGGTGACTTTTCCAGGAGTCTGCAGGCAGCCTGTCCCAGGGATGCTGCAGGTGCTCGTGTAAGACAATTGGCTGTCTGTGTTTGCTTCTCCCAAGGATCTTCCCAGCTAGAGAAGAGGGAAAACCAGGCTGTTTTCATGGTGCTCTTGCTTTCCCAGGAAGCCAACAGGCCTCGCTGCCTGTCTGTGCCGCTCCTGTTATCGTGAATGTCAAGCACTTTGCAAACAGAGGCATTAAATGTCAGATCCTGTCCCTTACAAGCCCTGCTTGTAATTTGAATGCTCAGACATGCTCCGTGGTCACCTCAATCCCGTTTCCTTCCTCTGATAACAGCATCCCTGGTACCACTGCGCTGTGAGGTGAGGTCACAAAGCAGGGCTCTTTACACCGCTCTGGACCTTCATCCTGACGACTTCATCCTCCCTCCCTGATAGTCAGAAATACTCAGGATCAGATTTGCACCTGCCCCCCTGCTTTAGGGGTGGCACAGGCATTTTGGGTGGTGTTTGGATCCCAGTGACTCTGGTATCTCTGCTGGACCCTTTAACAATCAGAGCCAAGCATCCCTTGCAGCTGTGTCCAGGTGAGGGCTCTTCCCCTTAAAAGCTCCTGGCTCCAGCTGAGGCAGAGCTGCTCCAGGATTTCTTGTGTGGATTTGCCCTTGCTTTCCTCTTGGGTAAGTGAGATGAGGCGTGAAGTTTGACAAGGCCAAGTTCAAGGTCCTGTGCCTGGGTCAGGGCAACCCCAGGCACAAATACAGGCTGGGTGGAAAAAGGATGGAGAGCAGCCCTGAGGAGAGGAGTTTGGAAGTGGAGAAGAGGGAGAGGCTTCAAACTGACAGAGGGTAGGGTTAGATTGGATATTAAGAAGAAATTGTTCCCTGTGAGGGTGGGGAGGCCCTGGCAGAGGTTGCCCAGAGAAGCTGTGGCTGCCCCTGGATCCCTGGAAGTCTCCAAGGCCAGGTTGGACGGGGCTTGGAGCAACCTGGGCTAGTGGAAGGTGTCCCTGCCCATGGCAGGGGTGGGACTGGA